CAAATATATATATAGGAGGAGCCTCCTTTCGGATAATTATTATTTTTTTGCCGTTTGTTTGTGTTGTTGAGACAAGTAGCTACCAAGTTCAAACATCACACAACATCCGGCTCTAATGATTTGCGGTAGGAGAAACACTTTTTGTTTATATTATGGGAAAAACAAAGACTTATTATGGCTTCTTTCTTTGTTGGTGATGATCAAGTAAGAATGTTGTCATTTATTTCAGACCCATATATAAATTGGAGAATATATCCTTTTATATGCACCAAAAAGAAATGAAATCTAACTATTAAATCTGCAATGTCTTTCGAACTTGCTTTGTATAATCGAAATTTGTGGTGCGTAGATTACTTATCTATATCTTACTGGTTTATGTTGGTCCGGTCTAAATTGGTCTGCAAAAGGCTATAATTATAAAGATGCAAATCAGACCGCAGATGAAATCGCGAAGCATGCCCTTTCTTTTACTAAGCCACAATTATATTTCATGTACAGGAATATAATTTTTGAGAAAACAGACTACATGATGTCAAGATTCAACAAATTACATGATTTCAACAAACTACACTATTAGAAACAGCAAAATTAAAATCAGGATAAAAGTAATTTGTATCGGTGAATCAAACGAAATTTCAAGATTCAGCAAGTTCGCAACTTAATTTGTGAATACAATCTATAGCTGTTAATCAATATCATTTTCAAATCTTAATATATGAAAAAAACAATTTGTCAATTTACATTTGTGATTAAAATAATTAATACTATATTTTATAAAATGGTGGAGACATATTGGTTTATAAAACAACATTCTACATTTTTCTTATAGTTTCTCTTGGTCTTCATGAAGCAAAATATTTAAAGAAAACTACAAAATATTTGGTATTTACCATGTTCTGTTTTGTATCCGGGCCTTTATCAGTTAATGGTCTTAACTTGTATCTAACGCCAACACTGTTGTTAATTAGTTGACTCAATGAGTTCATGACACATGCGTAGCTTCGACCCTTCAACTCCACTCCTTAAAATCCAATCCAGCTAGAGTATTTTTTTATTAAGACTAAAAAGATCTAAACACTTATTTTTATCCCAACAACCAAGATAATCAAATCATCTTCGAGATCTTCTCATTCTCGCTGTCTTCTCACGAACCACCTCCAGAATCCGGCAATACTCAAAGAACAATGAAGATTGTTCACCTTCCAGTCCACTCCTGCTTACTCTGTTACCACCAGCGAGGTTGTTGCATGGACTACCTCCAATAACAAGATCAAACCCACCAAATTGCTCCATCAACTCTTCGATCTTGGTGTTTGTAAGGTGTTGAACGTCTGCAAACTCGATCAAGACTCCTTTCTGGTTTGTTTGCTCCCAGAAGTCCTTCAGAATGTTTCTGTTGACTTCAGAGATCTCGACAGAGACAACGGTTTTCATGGGGATTTGGAGACGGTGAAGCGCGACTTCTCCACCACCAATCCCTGTGAAAAGCGAGAGCACATTGATTCCCTTTGGGAACATTGACTTGAGGACAGACAGATGATACGCCACGGTATCCACCTAAAACAAGTTCAAAACAAACCATTAAACCATAGTCAGAACACTAAGCCAACACCTAAACAGTTTCAAACCGCAAATGATCATTGGTACATGTCTTATACATATTATTATAAGCGCTCCATTACCTGAAAAGAATTGCCAAGTGACTTTAAGCGCTCGGTCCTACTGATGCCTCCACCTCGTGTATGATTTCTTGGAAATCCTAGCAAATTCTCCATTTCATCTGGCTCGAGTGGCGCGGCTTTGTTTTTCCCCACCCATACAAGGTTCCATTTTCTGCATTGGTCTATGACATACCTTTGTGTATGCTTAGGCGGTTCTCCAGTATGAGCCTCAAGGGCTAAACGGATCCTATTAGTTAACTTGGCACTAGCTGTAACTGTCAATATACAGTTCAGCTTTGTCCTGGTGTCCCAACTTGGCCACCATCTCTTGGTCAGCGGAAATGCCTCGTTGATTGTGTACTTTGGAGGAGGTTGCAGCTGAAATCTGTTGCTGATGGGGAGATTGTGCACATATCCCCTCTTTCTTGCTGCAGCACATATGTACTTGGAATCAACAAACTCTGGTGATATATCGTATAAATGTCTTGAGATGGTCTCCCACACGCCTTTAGGTGCAAGGGCAACATTTTCATAGTAGAAATATGGTGGCCCTCGAGCTATCTCTGGAAGTGATCTATGTGTGATGAGTCCTGGCTCGTTTGGAAGTCCAAACCCTATCATCGGATTTGGTAGCTTAACAGGCTCGTCATCAGTAGATGGCTTAGGCTCTCTTTTTAACTCTATCCGCCTTTTCTTGACATCATGTCTAGGCTGCATGCACAACATTTAGTTTCTTAATGCTGATTTCTGATGAACATGAATCAAAAAGTTAATGTAACTATACAACAGCAGCAATTTCCCACAAAATCAGTGCGCTTGTCTTGATAAAATAACTACAGAAACTTTTCAAACGAATTGACTCATAGAAGACGGAATTTTGTAGAGGTTTTAAGCATACCTTTTGTTCTTCAGGGTCAGTGTGAAACTCTTTAAATTCTCTAGCCATTTGAGCAGCGCAGATGAAGTCTGTGAGCTCATCGATGCTCACATTCTCTCCTGAATTTTTAATCAGATAAGTCTGGATGAGTTGCAAGAAGGCGACACCAGATATTATATATGTGAGAGATGTATATATAATCATCTAACAACTGTATCAATTAGTGAAACACAACCACAATGCTTAGCACACAAACATCTAAGGCCTACATCACAGAATCAGAGGCTAAGTCCACGCTTTCACCCTCAATCAAATAGCTGAGAATACTAAAGAAAAAGGAAGTAAAATTGCATGCTAATAGTAATGATTTTAGGAAAGGCTACCGCATCTCTCCAAAGCTAGAGAAGCTTCCAGCTGCGAGAAACCCATTTTCACCAAAGACCGCAATAGATTGTTGTTTCCAAGAGAGGAGTCTGGATCATTCTGTCATGGTTTAAAACAACAGATTTTTAGAAAATGCATATAATTTATATATCTGCAGTTAACACTGAGATACATGTTATTACCTCATCATCTGAGATCAATGAATCGGAGTAATTGATCTCATTATCACTTTCTGACCAGTCAATGTCATATTCTTCTTTTACTACAGGTAATTTCTCTGCAACATCACTTACTACACCAGGGAGGAGGGCATTTAATATTTGTTCCATATTTTCTTCTCCTGCGAGTTATAGAGCAAATGTCAGAAAAGTCATGTGGTTTTACTTCTTACTTAAAAGGAGAGAGATTTGTAATTACCATGTTCATGTATGGCTTTGATAACTTCTTCCTCACCAAATCCCATCCCAAGGAAATGATCAATAGCCTTAGACTTGGAAGAACCAGCTTCACAATTGCTCTTCAAAAAAAAAATATATATATATAAGAGGAATGAGAATTACATTGTAAACATTTATAAATTTTAACAGAAGCACATTAAAATGACAGGCAACATAAAAGATCCAAATATTAGAAACGCACAGTGTACTTGGAGATAGTATCAATAATCACAGAAGTATCTGCATTTGGTCCTGTAAAATTGTTGATATCAGATTATTGATAAAACCAAATAAACATATGTTCAGATATGAATACAAGCAAGAGCGAAAAGTCTCACCATTTTCCTCGATTGCTCTAGCAATCATCTCAACAGAAAATCCCATTTCAACCAACGTAGCAAACATCTCGTCTGAGAATCCCATCTGAACTAAGTCGGGAGTTGTTTCCGTAGGAGAGGTCGAAGAAGTGGTTAGCTGATATCATTATAAGAAAATTCACATTACCGATGATAAAATTCTGTCTGCTTAGCATAAACTGATAAATTGTTAGAATTATGTTTAGAAGAAATACTAACCACAGCTGGACAAACTAAAGTTTCAGCCCTGGGCTGTACTACTGGAGACGACGATGGAGACAACTGAAAGTTATCGATCTCCAAATCATCATCGGTATTCCAATCAACATAATCGCCATCACCAGCAGAATCTTGCGCCTTCATAAACATACAAAGGAGGGTAAAGAGTCGATAAGTCCAACAATAATTCCACTCTCAAATGGTGTGACATCAAAGACATGCAAATTTGAACAAGTAATCACAATGTACCATTGTTGTAGTAAGCTGATGGGATTATGACATGCAAGTAAGGATCTCCAGTGTAGTAAACCTGCCAAAGTTATCATCGAAAGTATAAAATCTTAGTAAGACAATCAGGTCTAAGGAGATCCATCAGAAACACCTACGCATGGATTCAAATTTCATTTAATTGTTACAGGATCTCACAATTCTCAGGCAATCAAACGCAAAAAAAGTGTTTGTCAGGATCGAATTTTGAGGAATCTTAGCAGATTTCTACGAATTTCTGCACTATTTCAGTGGTTTTACTATCGGAAATGTAAGAGAATGATTACAAACCGAGAAATTGAAATCGCTCTGGTCCCGAACACTCACAGAGTCGGAGACATTGCTCAATGGCAAAACGAATGAATTGAATGTACGAAACCCAGTAAAAAATTGTGTACGAGAGAATTAAGAGTCTTACCCAGAGAATTCCGAGTTAAAGCAACGATTTTAGCTGAAGCGCTCTCGCCGCCGGCAAAAGTGTGCGATCGCCGTCGGTGAGAGAGAACGCTGTCTCGTCGTCCGTCTACTCAATAAAGAACACTGAAAACAACAAAGGAATGCGATTCTATGTCAAAAGTTTGAAGAGTATTACGATTTAGACCCTATACTTAGTACTACTTCAACAATTAGACTCGAAATATTTTTAATTAACTAAATTAAACCCAAATTCGATTTTTTTGCCAGCAACACAAAATCAATAAGCATGACATGTTGTTAGGTGAAGCAGTCTAAATTAACTTTTCTAAGTCATTTTTCTTTGTCACTATTAATCTTTTCAGTCTAAATTCGTGGATTCTGGGAGAGTACGTAAAATGGGGTAAACTTGAAGAAACCATAGATTTCAACTTATATATTTCAAAGTTTACGAAACATATAGGGACTCTTTTTGGAAATAATTTAGGTGCAAGTAAATTGAAGCAAGAGCTATGCATCCCAATGGTAAGACACGTGACGAGTGAGAGAAGGAAAAAGTAGTAAATTCAAACATTACTGCAGTCTGCAGTGCGAGTCAAAGACCGTTAAGTACATCAATCAATCATCATTTATATAAAGGTACAAAAGGTTCTATTAAAAAATAAAATAAAAAATGTGTTCATCATCCGTGGGGAATACAAGAAAAATAAACAAGACAGATACAATAATAATCCTGAGAAGCTAACTCCATTACTTATATAATTTGATCAGCATCCATATGCATATGTGTAACAACATACTCAACACACATTATATATAT